AACCACTTTTTGGTCTCCTGAAGAATGGAAAGAAATTTCGATGGGATGACCGATGTCAATTTGCTTTTGAGCAGATCAAGCAGTACCTTTAGAACCCGCCCACGTTGTCGCCGCCAAAGCCGGGAAAGTCGTTGATTTTGTATCTGTCAATGATGGACACAACGATGGAATGCATGCTCGCTCAGGAATCTGAAGATAGAGTAGAGAAAGCCATCTATTACCTGAGTAAGAAAATGCTGGATTATGAGACCCGTTACACTCCACTCGAGAAAGCTTGCCTAGCCTTGGTATGGGCTACCAGGAAGTTGAGGCACTATCTATTAGCTCACTCCGTAATTTTGGTTTCGAGATTAGATCCCATCAAATATCTCTTCGAGAAGCTAGCTATTACGGGTAGACTAGCTCGTTGGCTGCTTCTTCTCTCTGAATTTGTTTTGAAGTATGTGACTCGCAAGTCTGTTAAGGGCAGAGCGGTAGCCGAGTTCCTGGAAGATCACCCAATGGAAGGAGACAAAGCAGTAGAATACCTTTTCCCAGATGAGGCTATTCTACAAATTGAGGAAGAAACTTGGACGATGTACTTTGACGGAGCATCTAACCAATACGGTTATGGGATAGGGGTGTTGCTGATAGCACCGACAATTTCCATATACCTTTAGCCTTCAAACTCTGGTTCAAGGTATTGAACAACGAAGCAGAATATGAGGCGTGTATCGCTAGCTTGGAAGTCGCCTTGGAACTAGGGGCAAAAAGGTTGGACGTCATTGGGGACTCGAACCTGGTTGTATCTCAAGCAAAATGAGATTGGAAAGTGAAAGAAGAAATGATGAAAATCTATCACCAAACCCTAGACGTCCTAATTCCTAGGTTTGAGAAGCTAACCTTCACTCATCTTCTAAGAGAGAATAACAGGCATGTTGATGCCTTATCAACTCTATCTTCTATGATAGACATCCCTTATGGAGTCCAAATGCATCCGATCATTATTGAACAGAGATATGTGTCGGCCTATGAGTTCATAGCCACAATAGATGAAGTACAAGATCAGAACCCCTGGTATTATGATGTCTGGAACTTCCTAGAAAAGAAAGCTTAGCCACTAGGGGAAAATGCCAAAGTTAAGAGGGCAATACGGTGAATGGTTGCTCAATTTATTATCTATGGGGGTAAGTTGTACAAATGAGGCCATCTGGGAGTGCACAAGCTGTATGTTAATCCAGAAGAGTCGAAGCGCCTAGTGGAGGCCATCCACGAAGGGGAGTGCGGATCGCACATGAATTGAGTAATGCTAGCCCAGAAGATTCTCAGGCAGGGCTATTACTGGTCATCCATGGAGCAGGATTGTATTGATTTTGTTCAGCAACACCACAAATGCCAAATTCATGCAAATCGCATGAATATCCCACCGTCGATGTTGTATAACATGACTTCACCATGGCCATTTTGAGTCTGGGGAATTGATGTCAATGGGGTAGTTATGCCAAAAGGCTCGAATGGGCATGAGTATATCTTGGTGGCAGTAGACTACTTTACAAAGTGGGTCGAAACCCAATCCTATACAGTGCTGAAAGTGTCGCATGTAGCCAAGTTCATCAGGAATAACATGATTTGTCATTATGGGGTCCCGAATGAGATCATTTCTGACAATGGCTCCCATTTCAAAAAAGAAGCGATCGTCTTGTTTGAGAAATACAATGTGGCTTTTCATAAGTCATCCACATATCGGCCGCAAACCAACGGAGCTGTCGAGGCCGCCAGCAAGAACATCAAGCACATTTTGCAAAAAATGGTTGAAACTTAGAGGGACTGGCTAGACAAACTTCCATTTGCTCTTTGGGGCTATAGGACATTAATTTGAACATCTACTAGGGCAACTCCGTATTCTCTGGTTTGTGGGATAGAAGCTGTTCTGCTGATTGAGATAGAGGTTCTATTGCTGCAAGTTATGGCTGAGTGCCAGATAGCAGAAGCGGATTCGTAGCAGAGCAGGTTCGAAGAGTTAATGTTGTTCGATGAGAAGAGGCTAAAAGCACTGTACCATTTTCAAGGATATCAATGTAGGATTGCTAGGGCTTTTAATAAGAAAGTTAAGTCTCAGAATCTTAAGGAAGGGGATTTGGTACTGAAAGACAACCACGCCCCCATCCATAACTCTAGGGGCAAGTTTAGACCCAATTGGATTGGCCCTTACATCATTAAGTCAATCTAGTCGGGTGGAGTCATTATTGTTATGGACCTGGATGGCCTTGAATTCTCCCAACCGATCAACATGGACAAGTTGAAGAAATATTACCGCTGAGAGGCTCGCTAGGCCGAAAACCTAGAAAGGCGACCTAGGCAAAAGCTAGAGCACAAAAAAATTGAAATGAGAAAAACTGAGCTTGCAAGGCTGAAAACCCAGAAAGGGCAGCCTTGGCAAAAGTTAGAATGCAAAAGGAGAGTGTTAATACCCGAGTGAACCCACACCGAACTATGTAAGGCTTGATTCCCATCTTCTAGATACGTAGGCAACTTCATTTTGAAGTTCAGTCATAAACACTTCAAACTCAACTGTGTCCATGTGTTTGATCAAGGCATCCTTGTCTTTTCTAGGTCCACGAGTTTGGTTGCGATCTTCACTATAAGAGCTAGTTACAGTGCAGTGCAATTCAGACAATGGGCAACTTTCCATTTGTTGGATTCGAGGTTGTGCATCTCAAGGATAGATTCCATGTATGTCAAGTTGTGATCCTTATCGAAAATGATTTTGAAAAGTCTTGATAAAAGTTGATTTTGCTCAAATTAATCTTTTTACAACTTAGACCATTTTTGGATCAAAAGGAAAATTTTCAGTGCCCACAACTTCAATTCATTGATTTCAATACAAAGTTCTCTACCTCTCGATACAAATCAAAGTTGCTTTTATTACATTCAGAAGGAAAACTTGAAAGTACACATCGAAGCAATAAACTTGGTGGCATAGATAAATCAGGCATTCATGCATCCTTTCCCTAAGCTTGTGGAAGCTTCAGATGATAAAGTAGGCCCGGTTTGCGCCTCTTATTCGAGCCAAGCCAGCCATTCGTCAGAAAGGGTGCAACTGAAATTGGGAACGGGAGCCAAAAGTTCTCTTGTCCTCCATGCAGTGGGATATAGAGCTAATTGTGAACCCCGGATTGGAAATGAAGCTGGGTACTCTATCCCCTCTTCTAGGGAAGTCTGGTCATGTCCGAACTGACGCCTGAACTGAAATGAAAAGTAAAAGACACAGCGTGTCAAGCCAATCAGCTGAATGCCAGGTTGTCGAGACATACTGTAGCTTATCTTGGGCATATCAAACCAGGGACATCGCCAAGAAAAGTCAATGGCCGACCTATTGCACATCCAATGGCACCATCACCTCTCGTTCGAGAAATCAACTAGCCATTGGCGAAAGAAATGGCATTGTGCTGAATATGCTGGGCAAGATTCAACTACTTTCAACTTGTCCATGAGTCATATCTGGGAAGGGATGAAAAATAAGAGAGATTAAAGAATATAGAGATGTGCGTTGAGAGGAAAAAGTGAGAAAAAGTTTGGAGAGAAAAACAGAGCATGAGGGCCTAGTGGTGTGACAGACACATATGAGATAAGGTGCGAAACAATACCTGCAAGAGTAGTGGACTCCCTGTCAATTTGGTTGTCTCTCGCTGATGGAAGGTGTCTAAGCCTATCAAAGTCTCGGCCAATGTTAAGTCAACGCAACTTTTTTCCTCTTTCAAACCTTGGGCCACTTCGATCAAGCGAATGCTAGACCCTCCAAAACCCGAGGCAAGAAGAAAATGAGCCAACATACACACACACAGGGCGTGCTGCCAAAAACTCTACTGAATACGGTCACCGCGGTCACCGGGATCAGAAAATCGATGAATGAGGCTAGGAATGTCCAGTTCTCCATTGTGAATCAAGGATCGAGCTTCATGTAAAGTGAGCCCACACATCCTTCCTAAGGCCTAGATGTGACCAAAACGGGACAGGGGCAAGATTTCCTCGTCACGCTGGGATTCCATCAAAACTTCAAATTCTTCTATTGTAGGGCATATATCTTGCCCCCTCGAAGCTAAAAACATTTGTAACCAGGTTCCAACACCTAGCCGCGACATGTAGGAATGGAAAACACAGCAGGGTACGACTTAGCGGGAATAGTGCATTTATCCCGAAACACTAGAAATTCACTTTTTCCGAGCCATCTACAATTGCAATCCAATTTGAGAGTTTTTTGGTAAAGAATGGCTCTATTTGTGGCAAACATAGAGCTGGAATGAAGAAACCATGAAGTCCTAACTTTTGTAGAAGATAAGGCACTGACCGGAGATAGGTGGCAACAATCTAGAGGTCCCTTGCACTGATGGCTAACCAGCCAGTGTTACTTGCCGACCGACCACCTTTTCTAGCCGACCAGCCACCATTGGTGGCCAACAGCTACCACTGGTGGCCGACAGCCTTTGTTTATGGCCGGTGGCCTCCTGTTTTGTCCTCTGGTCTATCCATGTGTTGAGAGTACTAAGAACCTGTGTTTTGTTCTGCTCTTGGTGCATTTTGTTGTCTTATTTTAAGAGTTTTGTTGAGTCACTTTTATGTTATTTCAATTTGTTTATCGAGTTGTGTTGCTTATCGCGTTGTTTTGTTGTTGCTTATCTAGCTGTATTTGTTTTTGTTTATCGAGTTGTTGCATTAGTTGTTCATTGAGTTGTTTTACTCTGTTTGTTATGTGTTAGTCGGTTCATTACCTAATTAAGAAGTTGCCAATACAACATACAATATTCAATTCCCATCAAATATCATTTTTGTGCAAAATGGTGCAATGTGATACTTAGAATGTAAAACACAGCACTTTTTTAGAAGCCGATTTTTCATTCCAATAATGGTTTCTTTTTACAAAAAAGTACAAGTCTTTTTCTGAGAAAATAAATCTGTACAATGTACTAACACTACTAGCATAAAGAGACTAAGCAAAAACATATGAATTGGCGCCAGCCACCTCAGGATCGAGAGGCCCTCTTCGTTCTTTTCCTGGGCATGGACTCAGAGCTATCTCCATCGATGCCGCTGTCAGAGGCCCCCGTATCTGAGCTAGCCACTGAACCTGCCTCGACATCATCTCTATCCTCAGAATCTAAGCCAGTGTCGTCGTCTCCATCCTCAGATGACTCTGACTGTGGACTCGTTGCCTCCTCGCCCTCACTCATCTCATCATCATCATCATCATCTGGAACGGGCTCTGAAGGGTCACTCTCGTCACGGGTGCCCCTAGCTCTACCTCGGTTATGTGCCAAAGCCTCTCGTCTCTCTCTCCCTGCTGTAGGAGGAGGCACCGGTGGTCCTGCTACAGCTCCCGCTGGAGCGTCTGATGTGGCTGGGATTTGAAAATGACAGTTTGTCAAATACATCAGTCGCAGTATATATCAGATGCAAAGATGATATATCGTTTGCAGTGTATGAATGCAGTGTTTGAATGTAGTGTGTTAGATCAGTACAGCGTGGAACATATTATAGTTGAAATGCTAATGTATCGGCAGGAAGTTCCATGGCATGAAGTACGAACTGAAGGAAATTACTGAAATCATGTAGTGGTTGAGAAGGTTCATACTCCTCTGCACCATCTCCATCAGGGAAGCCGCTAGCTCGAGAGCCTGCCTGGTGTACTCTATAGGTGCCTGCAAATGCATTGAGAGGATCAGTGTTCTGTAAGCATAACTGAAATGAATCAAACTTGCAAAGTGTAAAGTGTGGTACATACTGGAGTCAGGCCTTGAACCTCGACAAGCTCATGCCTAGCTGGTGCGGGCTCAATAGGGCCTCGTAAGCCTCCCCGTTATACCGCTAACAGGTGAGTGTAGTAGGAACCTCTAGCCACCCCGTCCCCTGTCTCGTTTGAGAGTCTCCCCAACCACGGGTCCTGGTCACCCTGTACCCTCTATCTCTCTCTCTCTCTCGCAGTTGGAGCCCTCGCTCTCTCACCTCTATGGGAGCCATTCAGAGGTAGCATGAGGTATGTCTGAATGAAGGCTGTGTAATCACCCTTGACTCAAAAAAAGTCAGCATCCCAGTCCCTGGTGAAATCAATCATCTCCTAAAAAGTGAATTTCTCTGTGGCTCTCACATATGTCGGAGGTGGCATGGGAACTACTGGCTCGGGCAAGCCGATGGTCTGGCGTAAGAACCGCTCCCCTAAGAACCATGTCTGACAAACCAGGCCCTCAAGTAGGAGCCGGAAGTCTCTTGTGCACCAACAAACTGATCCCTGACTCCCTCAAGTATTATCGCCCAAGGCTGCCAAGTGATCTGCAAATAAAGATTACATAGATTGTTAGTTGTCATTAGATATTGTGATATGCATCAGAATTGAAGGAAAATGGAAATAACGGTGGATCTTGAGTTACCTCGGCCAAAAGAATGAGAAGGACTCCCGGGACCTCCGCTAGCATCTCCCGTCATACTGGTGCGAGTATGGCATGACATGAGGCATCTCCACCTCTGGCTCTGGGGCAAGTGTTAGAAAATGGGCGTACACCCATAGCTACGAAAAGGAAAAGGGGGACAATGAATATACAACAGTAAATACAGATAATGCAGAAAGCAGATGTGTGTGTGTGAAGTGTACAGAGAATGCAAAACAGAAAAGTAAAGCATACCTCCCAGGCCCTCCAGTAGCCTCCTATCAGATGTCAACTCTTGCGGGAGGTCGAGCTCATACACCCAGATAAGGTGGCCAAGCCCGCGCCGCCCCAATCGTAGAATCGGACACGGGACAAGTCCACCAGGGCACTCATGAGGTATAGCCCGACAGTGTTCGCTCGGTCGGCAAACTGGGTAGTACCAAACAGGAACATTAGGAAACCTCGAGCATACTGCTCGGTCTCCTGTCAGGTCGCTGGTGCTGTCCCTTTGAAATGGTCTGCCAACTAGGTGTATTGGACCATCCCTGACCGAGAGATAGGTGGGCATGTCCCCAGCAGAGAAATCTAGGCGGTCTTCTACTCACCCATATTTGTATCGTAAGGAATCAAATGACCCCTCACCTCTATGCCAGTGACCATAGAGAAGTCGAAAGGAGTCATCGTCATCTCCCCTGCAATAGAAAAATGAAAGGAGTCGGTGGTATCCCATTACCTCTCTACCAAGGCACCCAGTAAAGGCCTATTCGCTATGAGGCGTGAGAGCCCCATGCAGAATGAGCCAAAGTCGGCCTCATCGATGATGTGGCAAACATCGTCGGGGAGCTCCATGTACCACTCCCTCGCGGAGGTGGTCCCGTATCCTCTGATGGCGTGTGAATCCCTTTGTGATCAGGACAAGTAGATGAAAGGCAGTGTAAGAAATACCACGGTGCAAGAGTGTGATTCAGGCAAGCAATACAAGGTACAGTGGGAAAATGTAAGAATATAGTGTATACCTCAGAGGCACCATGAGATAAATGTGACTCCGGCTCGCGCAGTAAGAGGTCCTCTGGTGTGCCTCGTGCAAACCCTCTGAACTGACGAGTGCTATCGGGTGGTAGCACATATTTCTCGGGATGATACGTCGCTGGGTCAAAAGTTCAAACGCTGAGTGGTAGTGGCTCAAGCTCTAGATCCACTCCATCTCTGGAGAAGCTCTATCGTATGGAATGTCGTCCGCCATCTCGAAAGAAGGTGAGAAAATGGTCGAAGATGTGGAAAATGGGTGGAGAATGCCAAGAGTCAACGAAAGTCAACTCTAAGAGAGGAAAAATGGAAGAAAAAGTGAAAGCCCAGGAAAGAGCACCAAACTCAAGGGTAACTCTAGGGAGATAAGCCTTAAGTGGTGGAAATGAAGAAAAAAGCACCAAAATCGACTTTTAATCGCTTCAAAATGGTGTAAACTACAAGGGTTTAGCGAAGAAAATGTTTATGGGGCACTGGAAAACGCGTATAAAGCGCGAATCTAGGGGAGAAAATGGTCTAAAGAGAGAGAATGATGATTTTTGGCAATGGAGAAGTGTGGAAATAAAGTTTGGAACCCTATTCTTAAACACCCAAGGTGAAATGGCCGTTTTGCCCCGATGGCCGACGGACCACCACTAGTTTGTGGCCGACAACTTTTTTGGGTGGCCGATGGGTGGCCGATCACCTTCCCCGGTGGCCGACAGGTTCCCAATGCTCGTATATTGGGTCTTTATGTTGTTTTGTGTCTTTAGTTCTCGAGAAAGTGCAAGAAAGGTTCACCTTGTGGGGAAATGGTTTTTGGAAATACTCTTCCGATCCTGGGGGACGCTAGTGATCCACCGATAGGCACCTGAAAGGAAATAAACACTTCGGTTGAGGGTGCCGAAATTAGCACTCCGACGGACAAATCAGTCTCTCGTTCTAGATTACTTGTATTCTAAGCTAAACACCACAATTATCACATACCTCTTTCTGGCTGATGTCTCTTCTACTCATATCTTTTCTTTTTTGGGTCTTGGGATTAGTTCCAAATCTAACCTCCTATTCGGGATGCTTTGTAATAAACAGATCTTCACTCGGCCCCTTGCTTAATCGACTATCTAGCTGAATAAGGTGGGGTCCGAGTTTCCATGGTAATGGCCAAATGTTTCGAATCTTGATTTCTTCAATGTTCAGCTATCCGGAATCTCTACGACATCCAATATTCGGCCCCGACAATTGCCCCCCAAGCACTCCACTAGCAGCAGTTGGCTGGGGTGTTCGACTTTGAACTCGAAGAGTTAGAGCCGAAATCCGGCGGCTGACCATATTCCAACGCAAATGTCTGTCCATACGCTTCTCGGTTATCATTTCAACTTCCTGCCCCTTCGTACACTCTCATTTATTGTGATTTAAAATTTCGACGTCTTTTCAAATAGATTCATGCTTCTAGACGCCCGTCGCTGGATTGCCTTGTGAACTACCTCTGCGACTTTCTACTCTTCTCTATCTCCTTCACCACTTATAAGTTCTTTCCTTCTTTGCTTTGAATCTCTTTCCTTGCTTTGTTTTTTGGCTTAGCATAATCACATTGGCTGGGGAGAATGGTGAAACATTTAAAAGATCTCCTCTCTTCGGATCAAATTTCTGGCTTCCGACGCCATTTTTCCATTCCTGATGATGTCTGTCTGTCTTTTGTGACAGGCGACACCTTCGATATGGAGAGGGTTGATGAAATCACAATCATCTTTCCTCTTCTAACAATCGCAAAGGGTGGGGTCCGTTTCTCCCTTCACCCACTCCTTAGGGCCGTGCTTTGCCATTGGGAGTTAATCCCTTCGCAGCCCAACGTCAATTTCTTTAGGGTTGTGATGGGCATTGTCGCACTAAACCACCGCCTGGGGCTTAACCTTGGCATCTCCATTATTCGGCATTGCTACGCCTTGGCCAAGTCTTCTGGTCGGCACGGGCGTTATTTCCTTAGAGCCAAAGACACCAACTATCAACTAGTGACTATGCTTTCTAGCTTTGGGAAGCGAGTCGATGATGTGATGGTCGTCATCCAGGGAAACTGGGAATTCGGCGATGGTGAGGATTGCCTTGATCTTATTTCTAGACAGAGGGGTGAACCAGATGGTCGAGTATCATATTTTGTTCATTTGTTAAATTTATAAAGCTTCATTTTGGGGACCTTACAGTTTTGCTTTTGCAGGGAACGATTTGAAGAAAATCTTGACCTCAACTGACGACGCCGTCCTTTTAAAAATCAAGACTGTGCTCAAGTACTTCGGTCGACGGAGTCTTCAGAAGCAGGGGAGGGCGGCCCATGTTCTGCTCCGATACAAGCCGACTTATACGACCTTTTCGGCAGCAAAAAATATCCCAATTCCGATCGGTGAGGAATTTCTTGTCGCCTGTATCTTGACTGACTTCAAAAATTTGAGGCAAGTCGGTTGCGAGGAATCAGATTCGGGGCGATTGAAAATAGCAGAGGACGCCGAATCAAACAAATTCGAAACAGAGGTTGACGAGGCTTTGAAATTAGCATTTGAGGAAGTCGGCCTCAATTCGGCTGATAATCCGCCCACTTCAGGTCGAGAGGACCGTCCACTTGACGACATTTTTCAGGGTCTGGAGGATCTTCCCGGCGCGAACGCAGAAAGGATGGCTGCGCGGCGAAGGGCGGAGGAGATTCAGGCTGCCGAATCTCAGTCTCAGTCTTAGTCCTTGCCCGTTATTGAGGAAGTGACGGTAGAAGAAGGAAGCACTGAAACGGAACCCTTGGTGCAGGCTAGTGTAGAAGCTGAGCAAAGGGTGGAGAAGCGCCCTGCCGATGTCGAGGCCAGCTCAGAAGAAGATCGCGCTGACAAACGGCCTCGTTTGGAGGAATCGGATGCGATTATACCTTTTGTTATTCAACCGAAGATGAAAAATATGCCGATCTTCTCTGATGCTTCGATAATCAAAGATCCAGCGATTGCACTTAGTTTGGCGACGTCCGTTTCACTGCCTGCTGATAAGGCGACTTTTCGGGCAGAGCCGGATCTGGTTACAATCACGTTGGCCGCGCAATCGGCTCTTTTGGTACATATCTTGACTCTGTCTTTTCTCCTTACACATCATTTTGGTTTTAACTTCCTATTTAGCGGACCGTCGGAAGGATAGCCGACATGGGCCGTCGCTATCGTGATGCCGTGGAGCAGATTGGCCGTTTACAAGCGGAGGTTAAGGGCCAAAGGAGTAGGGCGCAGGTCGAGGGTGCTCGTGCCAAGGCCGAGTTTGAGAGAGCCCGTAATGCTGAAAATTTGAGATCGATCGCCGAGGAGAGGGCTAATGCGAGCAACGCCACGCTTAAATTGACCCAGGAGGCGAATTCCAAATTGAAGGCTGAGTTGGAAGAGATGAAGGCGGCGAAGGAAACAGCTGACCTGAAAGCTTCCAACGCATTTGATGCCGGGAAAAATCTGCTTATGATGAATACGTAGGCGAAGTCCCCAAGTTTGAGAATCGGGGCTTTAAACACGGCTAGCTCAAAGCCCTTACTGTCGCTAATGTGTCTTTGGCTATGCAAATTCCATATGAGCAAGTGGATGTTGAGCCGCTGGAGTCTGATTCCGAAGGCTAATTTCAAAGGCGCTTGTTTTTTGTTTTAGGATTTGCGTGTATTTTTCAGCTTTTTGCAGTTTTTTGCTTAGTAATTTACATATGTAAAATGGTTACAATTTGTGCCCAATTTACGTAATGAAAATTCATTTTGTACTTCGCTGTTACTGATGAATGGAATAACTTTGGGTCAA